ACTAGCATTTGTCAGCACATAAAGACCTTAGCAAAAAATGGGAACCTGATCTTCCCCTCAGAAACTGACACTGTTTGGGAACTACATTTAAAACATTGAGGTATCACTGAAGAGCATTGCTGGTTACAAATTAACAAAGAAGCCAGACTTAGTTCCTAAATACGCTTTCACAGACTCCAAACACAAGCGCCAATTAGCTTGGTATGTCTCTGTACACTGCTGCTTCAGAAGTGCATCTGGTACTAAAGAATCTCTTCCACATCTAAAGTCTCTCAGAAGGCTTCATTTCCATTAACTTTCCTACCTTTTCCACCCAAACTAATCCCAGTAAACCCAGCTTTCCTCATATACAGAGCATTTCACACTCAGAAGTATTGTCACTCTGCACCTTAAGGTTCTTAGAGAATCCTTCCATTGACTACAGGAGCACTAAATATTTTCACAACACAGTGCTCAAAGGAGAATGGTTTTCTTAAGAGGTTATCTACCAAAATGTACCATTAAAATTTCCCTTTGATACATAGCTACCGCATCTGAGGATGCACCATTCTGAGGGAAAAAAGAAATTCAGATGTTAGAATGAAGTTGACAGACAAAATTAAAAGGTACAAAATCAAAATGCAACTTCAGCTGCAGGATAATTAAAGTTTAAAAAAAAATCTTTCAACAAAATGCATTTGGCACAGTGCAATGAAAGGCTGAAAAACCCCCAAAGGTTACGCACTATGTTATCCTCTTTAAACATAATTAATTGGCAATAATGAGCTATCATTTCCTACAAGGAAAGTGATAATTACTACCACATGTCATACAAGTAGTTAACATACATGAAATAGTTCAATTACTTGGTAGGGAGGAGAACAGAGAGGATTCTCTTAAGATTATTAGCTGGATAACTGGATTTTAAATATGAGAAAAAATTAAGTTCAGGTCTCCAAAAGACTTCGATGGAACTTTAACAAACCCAACCCATATTTGCTCAAAAAGCATAGCTCAAAAAGTGTGCATAGCAGGGGTGAATGAAGACTTCTTAAAGAAGAGAAAAGGCAGCATAAGAAATCAAATGGTGACTAAAAAAATAAAAGACTGGGCTGGCTAAAAGCTGCCTAGAGAAACAAAGAGTTGTGCTGTATTTATTTATGAGGACACCATGATAAACTTGATTTCAAAAAGCCATTTTCACTCTTCTTTAAATACAGGCCAAAACAAAGTTCTTTGCCTTAACTAAGCAACATCAATGACTGATTAATCAAACTTTTACAGTCTTAGATACCAAAGGATGATCTCAAATCTCTGCTATCCAGGTGAACCAATCATAGTTAAACACCAATTACGACACCAGTTTCCTATAGAAATGAATTAATGGATCATATAATCAGCACAATATCCTGTGCTAATCATTTGTGACTCACTACTTCAAAAACATGCCATTAATCTTTAAATTAATGAGAAAATAGCAGGTTATTGTGTCCAAAATATGGTTCACATTTATCTAACGCTAAAAAATTGGTAATTTTCAGATTGTCCCATTGAAACCTTTCTATTTCTTTAAAAATACAAAATTTTCATAGTAATTTAAGTGACATTTAATAAAACTCTCTATATAGTTGCAAGTATTTATCAGGATTCTAGACAACATCTATGATTTCGTCTAAAGACAGTACAAGCAGGTCTTATAAAACTCCTCTGCCAGCTCACAGATAACAACAGTGCAGGATTAATCATTTTTGCTATAGCAACCACTGCACTGCAATTACCATAGTGACATGAGAAGAATAGAAAAAGTAATAATGAAGAGCTCTTACTTGTTTGGAGCAATGTGGCAACTAAATAAGTGCAGAATTCTCCAGCACCCAACTCTGCTCACCTTAATCAATTGAAATGCCATTTGTAATAGATGTCAAAAAGCTTTTCTGATTTATTTTTAAAAGGGCAATACAAATTTGTCAATTGTTCCCTGTCGTTTGGTCAGATTGATGTACAAATGACTGCTATCATGTAACAGGGGGAAGTACAACTTATTACAGAGGTTCCAACTTAGCCATAAAGTGTAAGGTCTACTCCATTACCATAAATGTATTGATATATACACACATCCTTCTATGTAATTTTTCATTAAACCATACACACACACATATATATATATATATACATATAAATGTACTGGACTTTCAGATGCATACAAACATACATTTGCATTTTTTTTAATGAAAAAAAATCTTTATTTTTTCAGTACTTCAGGAACACTTGGTACTAAGATTATACCAACATCTGTTACAGTTTCTCATGAGTCACTTAATTGCTGGTTTTTCCAACTCCACTTAGCCAAATAATTTTTACTTGATAGCTGTTGTTCAACGTGCTTAGTTTAAGAAAGGAAATCTTACCCCAAATTAGTTGCTTTTGCAAGTTCTCAGTCAGACTCTTACACAAAGCTCCCCCCTTATTTCAAATGACTGGTAAATACTCATGGCTGGAAAGGGTACTTCAAATAACATTTTCAGAAGCAGGAAAGAATGTTAGACAAGGCACCTTTCGAAACAATGGTTATTTTGTTAAGAGGCAGGTGTGATCAGTAACTCAGAACCTGGCACTGCAGGAGTGCAAGAGGGCACAAGCAGAAAGGTGGGTGTGAGAGGGAAGGCAGCAGCCCAAGTGGCAGAGCCCGAGCTCACGCCTGGGCCTGACACCGCTGCAGAGCCCAACAGGCACACGGTTAATTCCTGACAAGTGGCAGAGTGAAAGCACGGAGATACAGAACCCTCTGGGACCTTTAGCAAATGGCAAAGCTGGCACATCAGCTGTGAGGTACAGAAAATGTCAAGGAGGGGAAGAAAAATAGAGGCAGGCAACCCAGAAGTAAGAATGTCAGAGGCTTGTGCTGTATCTTGAACATTTCTAGTGCCAGTGGCTGTGTCCCAGTGCCAAGAGGAGGATGCCTGTGGCACAGCAGAGTGCGAGTGCACAGCATTCTGCATCATGCACAGCTTGGCAAAACCTGCCAAAGTAGAAGGCAGCACAATCTTCTAACATATCTCATTTTCCATTTCCTTGTGGTACTTTGATTTGTTGTGCAATCAATCAGGCCCCGTTACAGATAGCTACATTATTCCAAACTGCAAACCATCATACCTTAACTTCCTTTGACTTGCAATAATCATTATTCTATCATTTTTGAAATGGAAAACTGAAAACAGGAGAGGTTCAAGTCTGACAATCCTTTTCTAATAATGCATTGTCTTTAACTCCAGCTCAGTACAAGCAGCTGTATGCTCAAAGCCAGCATTTTGAAGTACCTAAATGTGAGCAGACACAGCACAGTGGGTAAATGCAGCTACTGTGACACAGCAGCACACTCATCATGGGAGATGCTGCCCTTTTGTTGCTGGGCTGGTGCAAAACAAATGAATCTGATGATAATTAGCAGTGAGGGCTTTAAACAAGGGTGCTGGAACTCCAGCCCAGCAGTCCTGGGCACTGCCCTTCCTCCCAAGCTCGGCTGTACCAAACCACTGCCCTGCCACAGCACCGCACACTCTGTTTAGCCACACATTCCAAATTTTAACTTTAACATTGGAACAGTTCCACTTCTCTTTGTGAAGATATCCCAGGGTTTATTACATTTCCATTAATTACTGTGAATTTCTAAGATTATGATTTATCATTTGGGCTCATTAGCCACCTAACATAGAGATAAAATTATCCTACATTAAGATAGCTCTTCACATTGCCATTGTTAAAAATTTATTTAAAAATTCTATTTAGTACCTATTAAGACACATTATTCAGAACACCAGCTTGGAAAATGATTACAAAAGACCCAGAACTCTTAATTTTTTTTTTTAACTGCAAAAATTGTATTATTCTATTCTTTCCTTCATATATTACATAGATAAGTATTCAAACTTGAAGATAAATAGTAAAATATTTTATTAAAACTTTGTCAAAGATTTTAGAAAATGGGGTAAACATTACAGAGAAGAGCCTGGGCACAGTTCAGGTTCTACCTGACTTCACTGCCTGTAGATATGATCTAAGGACCATGACCCATCCAGCAGAGGTGCCTTGCATTCACAAGTCAGCCTCAAAACACTTCTAAGTGGCAGCACAGAGAAAGTGAGTCACACTCTAAGAAGTTTAAAAATGTCATTTTCTTTAAAATAAGTTTTTGAAGGAAATGTTGAAACAAGGCTACTGTTTGACAACATTTAAATACAAGGTCAGTCCCACTGTAACAAGTGTATTGTATAAATACAGTAAATTATTTTTTAAAGAAGTTATTTACAGTCAATTATGTCAGCAGAGTCAGGCCTGCAACACTTTGCCTCTGGTTGGAAAATTGTTATTTTAGTGCATAGAAGAATAGTATTTTCTGCACTACAAAACCAACATGTCCCATTCTCTGTAACATGACAAAAACATTGATAAACCACAATTGACTGGAAAGGTACATTCTAATAGGAAAATATAGGCTTTCACTAACCCTTGCAAAAATAGATTTACATATAAATTAAATTTTTCTCCTGTCCAAAAGCCTACCAGAATTTTCAATTACAACCGTTAAGATTTTACCATGTTTCAGCAATTTTTATTTAAGTAATTTTAATTCGTTTAGTCTTTATTAGTTTGTACAAGTGAAGAATTTAGAAACATTTAATCAGATAATGTTTTCTGAACAAGATTAGAGAAAACAAAATTAAAATCATGACAAATAAAATAAATGTCTGATAAAATTAAGTTTAGTGTTGCACCACACCTCAAAGCAACAAAAATTAGATACACGAGGCAGAATGTACTGGGATAAGCAAAGCTGAATTTGTAAATAATTATTCCCAGACATTTCAAGATTTACAAATAAATATAAGACATTAAAGAGAAAAAGCAGAGAAACATAAAAACCTCATTTAGAGCTAAACACCTTTATTTGTTGTCTGGTATAAAGCAGCTAACCAAAACATAAGAAAGCAACACTCAGGGCAGTGTAAAATAAGCAAACTCACCAAAATCTGCAAATACGGACTGTCCAACAACTTTGGCCCCACTGGGCATTTCCTTACTTCTTCCAACTTTAGAGAAGTTCCCATCCTAGGAAACAGGACAAGGATGATGGAAAGACTGAATTGCAGAGTAAGTGATAAAAACTGACTTTTGAACCGAAGAAAATACAGATCACTAGTGAAGGGCTTTAGCAGGTAAGAGAGAGACATCTCAGTATGGAAAAAACTACGCTCTTCAAAAATTGGGACTGAGTTTTTGCATTTCTAATCCTTCCTGGATTCTTGTGGAAATCCATCAATAGTAATATTCAGACACAATTTCCATAAATTTTGCTGTGCTGTGAGGAAGAGATTGGATTATTTCAGCAACATTATCTAAATGAGAATTAAGTGATTATGAATACTGTGCATTTTTGCATATTAACATGTGATTTTATAGACGTGTGTAATATATAACAACACACCTGCATAGAAATTAAAAATAGGGTCCTGATTTGCTTTCTAATTAGGAGATAAACTGACTTGCTATTAGGTCCGGCTTAGAACTTGTTTTATTTATCTAGGCCTAGAGAAAACAATAGTCCATTATACCATCAGAAAGATAAAAAGTGCTGGGTCTTTGTTTATCACAGAACTGGATCTCAGCTGGCACAAACCCATGTCAAGGTGCAGAGTTTTTGCAGCCATGTCAGAGCCAAGGCCCCCTCCCCAGTCACTGCCATCAGCTCAGCACACTGCTCTGCACACCAGGGCCCAGCAGGACACAGAGCCATGGCTTGGGAACGGAGCAGAGTTATCCATACCCAACGTGACTCATGTCACCTTTGCTTTGTGGGCTTCAATGCAACTCTGTACACAGTTGGTGCTGTTTGAACTGCATGACTATATATCTTCACCTTGACATAGAATGTATAGTGATTCTGATGAGAAAAATTAATATTGATGCATTTCCATGCAGTGAAATAGAAGAGGCCCTTAGTTGGCCCTAAAAGCATATCTTCTTTAGGCAAATATTTAAAAAGCATTTCATAGTGCATCAATGAAGGGAATTATGTTTCCTACAAAGAGCAGTTTACCAGCTTTTAATGGATCAGTTAAGCTATTTGTAGTTTCATACACATGTCCAAGCATTTTACGTGTATGACTGATTTTCCTGGGTTGATTGATTCCAAAGAACAGAATTCTTTCTTTCTAAAGATAAGCAAATCTATCAATATAAAATTTATATTGCAGGATTATATTTAGAATACGAGTTCAAAAACTGGTAAGAGAATTCAAAGAAACCCCATTAACAGGACAAACACCTTATGTACTTACAAACATTCAACAGCCAATGATTTTTAAAGTCTACCTAAAGCTGTAAATACAGGATTCATGACTCAGTGCTTTCATTACTCTTGCCTGGGAGAAGATGGCCAGGTTATCTCACACAAGACTCTGTTCTGCAGTGACTCACTGTGATCTGATGGATTAATTTGCAGGCAAACCCTCAAAAACTCATCCCTTAACTAATAAGAAACACACTGAGCACTTTCTATCATCATTAAAAAGTGAACTTACAGCTCTAGTCCTTTTGGATAACAAGGTACAAAGGATGCCCCTGGCCAGGTTAGACAATACAGAAGCAGAATCTCAATAAATTATTAATCCCTTGATCTATTACTCCTCCACCCTGAATTTCAGTTATGATATTTAGTAAACACAGGACTTGATTTCCTCAAACATAATTCATGCATGTATTGTAACAGCCAGAAGTGACATTTTGAACCTCTGTCCCAGAAAATCTTACCCAAGACCTGGAGTCATGTATCTAACAAAGCCCACTTAAAAAAAAAAAAATCTTTCAGACAGCAAGAATAAAACCAAACTGATCAGTCTTCTATCTAGAAATCACCATAAATGTCAGAAGATAACTCTTTGGGGTTTATAACTTGTCTGTGTTTCAACAGAATGGTTATTTGTGTTTTCTCTCTTACCTTATTTACCCATGTCTCAAATTGAATGGATTTGGAATTTGGTGATGTGGTAAGGAACAAATCTGTGAGGAAAATATAAGAGAAATGAGATATTTAACAGTAGACTACACTCATAAATATCTGATCACTTAGTAAACAGATATAATTTTACAAGTATTACCTATATACGTTATAAATACATTATCTTCTAGTGATATATTAAGTAGGAAAGACTAAAACCACAGCCCTCAATATTATTTTCATGTCTTGTACTCTTTTGTATAAATAGATATCAATAAATATCAACTAGCCTTTTATTTGGGATATGTTGAATTAAGCAACAGACTCACTGTTGACAGGAGAAGAAAAGTAGATGGAGAAATATTTCTGGCTTCCTATACACTAAAATTCTTTAAAACATCAAAACAGTGCAAAATAGAGCTTCAAAGGATGTATCTGGCAAGGCCTAAAGAGAAGCTTATTTGCTGCCTTTTAGAAAAGTCCCCAAATGAGGAAAATGGGAAGAAAAAGCTTTTATTAAAAAAAAGTGGACGTTGAGGAAAAAAAAAAATTAAAAATTAAGTCCACTGTTAAGAAATCCAGATTTAAGAAAACTACTCTTTAAGATTTAAACACCTGTTTTCTTTTTCTTTGTCTCCTCCCTCCCTGCAATTTCAACTGCCATTCTTTGAGCTAGAACACAATGGTTACTTTGCAGGAAAAAGAAAAAAAAAGAGAATATTAATGCTTTACCCTGAGGTATTTTACTGAATAAGCAGGAAGATAGCTGTACAGAGAATTTCAAATAGCACAATAAGGGACATTGTCTTCCAGGGGAAAAAACCCAGCAACAAACAACAACCACAAAACTAGAAACCTCCCCACACCTAACAAGAAAAACCCAAACAAAAACCCCACACAAAAACACAACAAAAACAACACACAAAAAACAACAAAGATTCTTGTTATAGATTTCTCTCCCCCAACTTAGAGCTTAAAAGCTCTACCATTTAATTTTATTCCTCTGAATATCTGAAATGGCCATTTCCTTTACAGCATACACATGAAAAGCATGATAGTGTGTGCTTCATTGGAATGAATTACAGTCATACTTAAGGACTTCCTGAAGGTGAACAGAACTAATGAAAATAATCTGAAGACAGTATAAATGTAAGGTAGAAAACTTATATTTTCAAATATTAACTTTGCATCTAGAAGGAAGCTTGTGCAATACTGTTGATTACTATCAATATAAGCCAGAACAACATTAAAAAATCCAGTACGTTCACAGGGGCAGAAAAGGCTTCTGTTATTTCATGTTGCTCTAACAAATTTTCCTTCAGGTCAAAATGCCACTATATCTTAAAAAAAAAAAAAAGTATTTGAGGTTTAAATAATCATTTCAAGTAGGGCCCTTGCTGTACTTGTACTAAAATTTACTCTGAGCTCTGGGCTCTGCTGCTCCCAGGTTATGCTAGAACAGGCTCTGAAGTGTTGTACTGAAATGCCAGCCAAGGATGAGCGTTTGCTCCCCAGCTGGGGCAGGCTGGGTGACCCTCAGCCATCCTGTCTGCACTGCAACCTCTCCCCAGCACTCTCTGCCTCCAGGTCTCACTGCAGAGCTGCCCTCCCACCCTCAGTGCTGAGACAGCCCTCGGTGCAACGGGAGACCCTGGCCAGCAGTAACTCAGCATTCCCTCTGCTAATGCTGTTTACCCACATTTTGGGACTCTGTCCCAGCACAGCTGCCAACACCAGGCAGAACTCACCCAATGCCACCATGCTAGAACTTGCCCCAGCTCCCTCAGCCTTTCCTCACCAGAGATGCTCGTGTCCCTTCACCATCTGTGTCACCCTCGGCTGGCCCCGCTCCAGGAGCTGCAGGTCTCTGGTACTGAGGAGCCCAGAGCTGGGCACAGCACTGCAGCTGATCCTCACCAGGGCTGAGCAGAGGGGCAGGGTCACCTCCCTGACCTGCTCCAGTGCTCTTCTTAAAGCCCCCAGGATCTCATTGGCCTCACAGTCACAAGGACACGGTGCTGGCTCCTGCTGTCCACCAGGACCTCCAGGCCCTTCTCAGAGCTGTGCCCCATCACGCCCAGCCTGTGCTGGGGTTGCTCCTGCCCAGGTGCAGGACCCTGCACTGCCTTTCTCCCCAGCAGCTTAAAGACAATTCCATTCAGCAACATTCCTGTTTTGCACTGAAATCCCTCTCCCAGATCAGCTTCTCTTTAAAGTCAGTAAATTACTTTTGCTCTCTGCTCCTCTCCATGTACTCCTCCATCTCCTTTTTCCTAACCACTGTACAGAACAAATAGAACCAACACAACAGAGCACTTCCAAGGCTGCTGTAATGTCACACTGCACTGGCAAAATGCAAAGGCAGGCTAAGAGAGCAGATAATCTTCTAAAAATAGTGTAGAGGAGCTGCTGCCACGCTGCTGCTGCATTAAAGGAACAAGCTGTGATTTCCCATAGGACAACTTAATACAGGTACAACACCACCACCTCTAGTTCTAGAGCCCTCTGAGCCAGTTCCACTGGTACCTTATTGCCAATTGTCCTCTTTCTTATCCTTAAGCCTTCTTAGAAGCTACAGATTTGAAATGCTCATGCATGTTTCTGGGATTAAACTCTCTTTCACTGAAACCAAATCAAATTGTTAATATTTACAAGTAATTATTCATTTTGATCAAGAATGTCAGAGATTTCAAACCAAGTGAAACAAAAGCATTTCTTTGCAACAACAGTATAAAAAGGTGATGCAATTTAGACACTAGAAATAACTACTCACAAATTTGTACAGTTCAGAATTACCAGTGTTTTCTCCCAAGTTTGCGAAAGGAATGTGCAAGAAAACATAAGTCCTGTCTGGAACAGTGTTCTAGATCAGTTAATTCCCAAATGTTACTTTCAACCTGCCTTACTTTATGATTCTTTCTGGTTTGGTTATATAAGTTTTTGACCCCAAGAGCATCTCCGAGGCAATAAGTAAGAATCTGTGCACTTTATAAATAACTACCTAACAGCCATAGCAAAGAATCCTTGCAAGTGTTTCCTTTCCAAAGGAATGGTGTCCACAACATATCTCCCTCCTCACTCTTACTGCTTTCAATGTCTGTTATTACTAAATTCTTAAATATGTAAGAGTGCAGGAGAACAGATGGAGCCAACAAATGCATTCGTATCTGTATGATCAGTACTGGGGTTACACAACAATGAAGATATACACAACTCGTCTACACTTTTTGTATTACAGTACACTAATCACGTTTGAAAACTGCAACATTTCTGTTTTGCTTCTGGCTGTATCAAGAAAACTCAGCCCCTTGCTCCTACAAGGAATGCCTATCATAGTAAATATGCTCAGAAAAAGTCACTTGTCTGTAGATATGCTGCACACTGCCTTTGGAAGGCAGTTCAGGTTGCAATTTCAGCTGTAAGAAACAGAATATATTCCATAAAGATCTCTAAGTTTAAAAAGCACAGACAAAGTATTGAGAGCTGTTCAAATTCTTATTACCCTAACAGCACCATAGTGAGAGATATTTCCAACCTGAGGTTATTAAACCAACTAATCTGGAGCTCAACAAGCAATTATATTTACAGGATACAAAAGTGATGGTTTTACCAGAAAACAGGTACACGAAGGGATGCTAAAAACTACAGGCAAGGGGGTACCTTTAACAGCCCTAGGGTAGTTGTAGATTCTGTAGATATAAAAATGGAAATATGAAACAGGAAGAGGAAAAAAATCCACTTTGCTGCTGCTGCCAGGGAAAGAATATTGAGCTAGCTGGATGGACCACTAGACTAAGCCTGCAGGGCATTTCTTGCATCCTTAATTTGTGACATGATGCAGCAAAGATAAGGAAAATACTCAGTAGTTGGGATGGGGGAAGATCTTGTTTTCACACCCGGGCAGATTTCCTGAGATGCAGCACCCATGGCCCAAGAGAATGGATAGAAGTAAAAAACCAATACTGCCTGAGAGGAAACCTTTCTCTTAAACAAATGCAAAGTAAAGTGTGTTCACATTTAAATACACTTTCCTATTTTGGATTTAACAGCCAGTGATTAACATAAATACAACATAAGTAATTGGAATATTCATCAACAAAATTCAACAGCCTGAGAAGCATGGAGGTTACCCAGCATTTTAGATCAACACTGAAAATCAACTAAAATACACACCAGACACTTAATACAGAAGGTATCATAATGCTGCAACACAAAACCACTGTGTATTAGCATTTTACTCACAACTTACCCTAAAAAGTGAGTTGGTGAGCAAATTTGGCTATAATTTAATTTAACTGGCTTAGTCATAAGATGCTGCTATCCCAGCTCTGCTACATCTGATCCCAGTTAATATATATATAGAAAAAATACTGAATTCAGCATTCATTCTTACAAAAAAAGGAAAGAGATTATTAGAATGTATGTTTCTGCCTGTAAAAGAAAACTATTTGAGTATGGTGCTGTTAACTCCAATAACCTACAGCTTGTTACAGAGGAAGCACAGCACTTCCATCCATCTTCATTTGATAGTATCAGGGAATTTTGACACTGTATCAACATATGGCCCACTGAAGACTGAAAAATCTCCCCCGAAAGCAACATAAAACTTGGCTGGCTAGACTGCACTGAGTTTATTTAGTGCACTTAGAACTACCCTGTATCAATGTCCAAGACACCCCAGACACAGCCACAAACATTAAAATTGTAATTTGATCACAGCATATCCCATCTTGAGCTAGCTACATTTTTGGCAATGTTTGTGCAATGTACCTAAAGGAGCTTTACCTAACTACTGCTGTCTGTGGTGGCCCATCCTGGGCAGCAAGAGCACAGCTTTTGTGCCGTGGGGCTTGGGAACCAGAGAGCTGCACTGAAGAGAAGCAGCTGCTGAGAACCCAGTGCCTGACCAAACTGATCCCAGGGCAGCAGCACCTCTCCTGTGGAGACAGGCTGGGAGCTGGGGCTCCCAGTCTGGAGGAAAAAGCCTAGAGCCCTTTTCAGGACATAAAGAGTTCTGGGGAGGGGCTTTGGACAAGGACATGCACAGAGAGGACAAGGGGGA